AAATATAATACAATAAATATAATACAATAAATATAATACAATAAATATAATACAATAAATATAATACAATAAATATAATACAATAAATATATAAATGTATATCTTTTTAGTATACCTTCAATACGAAGTGCCGAGATGCTTTATGAAAAGCTAGTGCATTTGGTAAGCTTTGTTTTGACATCCTTAGACTTTTTTTTTGATAAGTACTTGTGTTTTTAATTTGGTTTGTCCCATTATTAATCTTTTTTTTTTCTTTTCTTCTTGTTCCATACATTCTAATGCAGTTGGCAATCGTTTGGTTCTAGAAGGACGACCTTTTCCTATAATTCGTTCTGGAACTTTTATGTCTGAAAGTTTAACTTCTGGGATTGCCAAAATATCATCAAGTTTTTCTAAAAGAGATGATTTTTGTTGTTCATCTTTAAAATTCATATATCATGTTTCAATCATATATAGCTTAGACTTGAGCGAAGAAAAACTATCTGAATTATCTAATAATTCATTCTGAATTATGTTATTGGAATCAAGTTGACCTTGCTCGGGAAATAGCAACCATCGTTTTGGAATAATCGACAGCAAAATAGGACCTTTTATTGGAAGCAGATGGCGGCAAGGTAAATTATAATTAACACATAATTCACAAAGGCAAGCTTCATATGTGGTTGCATTAAAAAGTTCGCACTTGATTTTATTTAGTGCAAATTGAGATACTCTTCCCAAAAGTGGTCTCAAGTGGTCCTTATTATCCTGCATTAATAAAGGGTCAATCCCTATACTTTCCTTCTCATATTGTAGGGAAGTTTCTTCATGATGCAAGCGCAGCCATCTGTCCAAAGAAATAAAAGCCTTCGTCAAACTTCCTGAAGACTCGATTGCATGTTTCATAGCAGAATGTGCACCTTCTACATGTTGCGTTGTTATTGCACCAAAGTGCATAAGCTTGCTTGTATAGACGCCAACCCATTTCTCCTTTACTCGCAGCATTCTTCAGAAAATTATATTTAGTTAATTAAACAAATTAAAAATCGATTTTATATTTAATTAAAATCGATTTAAAAAAAAAAAAAAATTTACCTTTCAAAGTATTTTACAACTTTCTCTGTATTTAAGCTAGATGTAGCTAGTTTACGATAGTCAGAAATTGCAAAATTTAATTCCTTATAGTCCCTTAGATTAATAAAACCCTCCATGATATTAATAATTTCATAAAACGAATCATCAACAAAATATTTTTTTAAATTTTTTTTGAAATTATTCAAAACATGCCAACTACACAAAATATGCTCGACTTTAGGAAAAATTCTTCTAAGAGCACCAATCAATGCAGCATCATTATCAGTAATGAACACGAAAGGGGAAATATCTAAAAAGATAAGAGATGCGAGCTGTTCAATAACCCAAATATATGATTTCTCAGATTCGTCCGATATCCAAGCACCAGCAATGCCAAAGGTTTGTAATTTGTTGACGCCAAGATTACTAATTCCAACGAAATTTACAAATGACAACTTATAAACGTTTGTTTTATAAGTTGCATCAATTAGAATTACTTCTGAAAACTGTCTTGCACTTTTAACCAAATTGGTATGACAAAAAAAATAAATGCTTTATACGGCCATCTGTATTAAATTAAATACTAAATAGTTAATAGATTGAAATTTGGAAAATGAGTGTATTATCAAAATAAATAAATAAATTTTTTAAATTAATTGAAGTAACCTTCTAAATACAATACACATCATCCTCATGGTAATATAACAATGGAGATATTAAAAAAAAAAAAGTAACTTTCCTTTATAATTCTCATGGTGCACTGTATACCCTCTTTCTTCCATCTCTACTATCAATGCCTCCATTGATGTAGTTTCTTCTAAAGAGTTAATCTGTAAACCAATATTAGATATATCCTTTCTTGTCACAGTTAGTGTCCCAGTTTTGTCTCTAACAGCCTCATAGATCATACTTGGTTTCGGCCCCGCTTTTAACATTCTTACAACTGTACATCTTGCTTCCCGAGTTAGTTGGCAATGTTCATGAAAAACTCTCTTATCTTCGGCCATGGAATGATTGTGCTCATCATTAATTTCAATCACCCGCCATTGACATTTTTTTAATATTGCCTTTAAAAGATATGAACATCCACATCACTTACTCATCCTTTTTCTTTGATGAGTATCTGCTATCAGGTTTGAGAAATTTCAGGGTTGGCCACCACGTTTGCATTTAAGGTGAAAATGACAATTGCCACTACTTTTGATCGTTACAGCGAAGCCGGAATGTCGGGCAATTTCCTGAGCAGCATGAAGGAGATCTTTTTTGTTGTATATTCTTTACTAAGCATTTTATTAGCTATTATTAAATTATTAATAATATAGATTAAAAATTAAATTATGTAATTAAAAAAAAGAGAGAGAGAGAAAAGAAAGAAAAAACAAGGGAATGAGAGAGATTGATAAGAAAGAAAAAAAAAAAGAGAGAAAGAAAGAGAAAAGAAAAAAGAAAAGAGAAAGAGAAAGAAAAGAGAAAAGAAAAGAAAAAAAAAAAAGAGAAAAAGAAGAAAAAAAAAAGAGAGAAAAGAAAAAAAAATTAAAAAATAAATTAAAAAAAATGTAAAATAGAATTTTGTCAATGCGTCTTTTTTAATTTGATTTTATTTAATATATTACATTCAGACTTTATTATGCAACTATCCATGGTCTTGGCCTTATTTTCTTCCTCATCTTCTTCGCTCACAGTTTCATTATTGGATTCGATTTCATCTGCAGTTTCATCTTTGGATTCGATTTCATCTGCGGTTTCATCTTTGGATTCAATTTCATCTGCGATTTTATCTTTAAATTTGATTTCATTTTATTCAAGGCTGCTCATTTTTATTTATTCTGTTTCGAAAAGTACTAGTACGAATAAGGTATTGAATGTTACGACAAACAAACCAAAAAATTCAAAATGGAAATCCGGATATTTATTGAATATCCAGATATCTGGTATTATTCATCAAATATCCCTTAAAATCCTATTGGTCAAAATTTTGGGGTGCTTATGTCGATCACTGCTGTGCCAATAAAAGGATAAATCACGTGTTGCTGTGCCTGTAGTATTCGCATAATGTAATTGCGTGATTTCACGTGATGTGATTATTACTGGATCTATTGATCTTTAAGTACGTACGTACGTACATACATTATTAATAATTATGTATCAATATATCGTATCGTATCATTATTATTTTTTAATTAGGACCCCTTATGTGGGATCCTAAAAAAATAAACTTTATATATTTTTTTTTAAATTAAACACAGGACCTCGATTACGGGATCCTATGTTTATTTATATTTTTTTAGTTAGGACCCCTTATGCGGAATCCTAAAAAAAACTTTAATTTGTGATATGTTTAATTAACATATCATTAAATTACAATATTTAATTACCCTGCGAAGCAGAGTAAATTATGTACATGGAAACCTGCTTCGCGTGTTCCCATATAGCATTTGAAAAACAATTCGTATCTTACTAAAAAAAATAGTAAGATATGAATTGACCGTAATGAAGGTTACTCCTTTAGTATTGAGGAGATTATTAAAATTTTATCAGAAAATGAAATAAATTTGATACATTGCTCATTTGAAAATAAATACTTATCTATTTCTGTCAAAATTAGATTTCCGCACGTTAATCCTGAAACCCTTCAGTGAAAAAATTTTTGAAATAAAATTTTCAGAAAATATTATAATTTTTAAGTTAACTATTTTCATTATTACACTAATTAAAAAACAAATGTAACAGAAATTTATTAAGATTAATTATTACCTTTAAAAAAAACCAGTAAGTTATATAGTATATTATTTTTTTGTAAATGAATATATAGTATACTAACTAATGAATTTAGAAGCAAAGACAATCATTCTAATTAAATCTCCATTATCAAAAATCTAAAAACCCTAATTGCAAGTAAATTCATTAATATTGAAAAGCAAGAAAGATTTTTAAGAATTGAGCATGAAAAATCAAAATAAAATAATATATAAAATACTAAGTTGAAAAAAAGAAAGTATATTGCGAGAAACTTTAAAAATGATATAATTGAACTTTTAATTAATATGCACTTTGGAAATAGTTATATCAATAATATAATGTTATTGTTTTTAATTATTATAACATCGCAAATTTGAATGTAAGGCGTATACGTACATATAAATTATGCTTTTAAGGAAGGGGGTATGTAGATCATTTTGTCATATGATTTTGTGGTACAACGTGATTTTTATAAGAAAATTTGAATATACTACTAATAAAACTTTTTACTATCACAATTAATTTTTACTAAATTTTTATAATATATAGTTTAGAATATGTTTGTTATAGTAGTAAAAGTTTTAATA